CAAGGTTCAAATTCAGGAAACATGGCTCAGTTCAGTTTTTAGTTTTGTAAATAGAAATGTAAGACCCTTTTTTCAGGATTTTACTGACTAGCTTGATATAGCCCCAGGCTAAAAATAATCATCTGGCCTGTGCAGCAAACCACTCCTGGGCACTCATAGAAGTAGCCGGGAGTTGTCGAACCAAAATTTAAGCCAACTTTGTATAACATGTATACAAGTATCTTAATAAAGGTGATCAGCAAGGCTGCCTAAGTTTAAAAAAAAAAAATTTATTAGAACAATATAATAATTATTTGAAAGAATAGTTAAGAAATTTTTACATTATTACAGTAATATTAAAATAATAAATTAAGATGTGTAAGTTAACAATGCATATAAGTAAATAAGTAAGAAGTTAAAATAGATAGTAATAAATATAAATAGTTAGTATATATTATATAGTGTAATAAGTTAAAAGCTAATTAAAAAGTAATCATATAAATGCAAAGTAGATAAATTGAATAAAATAATTTAATAGAAATTGGGTGTAGTATTTATATAAAGATTTATTAAAGGGAATATAAATTTGAGATAGAAATATATTTAATTAAAAAAAAATGGTATATGTATAGTATGAATAGAGTAATTGGATAATTAATAATAAAAGTAAAAATAAATTTAATTTAAGTTATTAATAAAATAGAGATTTAAAATTAAGAATAAAATAAAAACACTTATATTTTATACTTGAAATATAATTTGAATTAAAGTAGTAATGGTTGGTAAAGAATGTAAAGATGAAAAATTTATTGAAAAATTTTAGCATAAACAATGTTAGAAGTAATGACAATATAATTAGTATTTTGAGTATTAAAATTAGTAATAAGAAGTTTTAAATTATGTCGAGAAGTAACTCTAGAACAGCTAATATATAATTGGTTATGAGAGAAGACAGGTATTGGTAGGTATAAGCTAATGTAATTTAAAGTTTGGCCTTGAGACTTGTTGATTGTTAGAGTGAAAGTAGGTTAAATAAAGAATTAGTAACATTTGAAGGTGAAAGGTAAATCAGTTGTTGAAAAAGAAAGAGTAATGTGAGAAAAGAAAATGTGATTTCTAGAACGTTTTTCAGTAAGAATTTTAGCTTCAATAATGTGTCTATGAAAAGAATGGCATACTAATCTTGTTCTATTACAAAGACCATCAAAAGGACTAATATTGCATAATAAAATAATGAAAGCTTCTGGTTTTAAAGTTAACTTATAAGGAGGAAGACTATTAATATATAAGAAGTTAATATATTCTATAAGATATAAATGCTTATATTTAGTATAATTTTTAATTATATTAGCACTAAGATAGTTAGTAGAATTTCTAGAAAATTAAAACATAATAGTTGAATTAATAGTATTAACATATTTGTTCTTAGATGTAAGTATTGCATGTTTAATTAAATATTAAGAATCAGAATACAATGAAAATTTAGGATAAACAAATTGTATAAGATCGTTTAACTGTTGAGAAGGTAAAATAAGATCTTCTGGAAGTTGAATTTTATCATGTTCTGGTCCAATGGTAGGTATTCAATCTTTTTCAAGTGCAATAAGCCATTTTGCAAAGTTTTCTTGTTTAATAGTATCAATAGAATTAGTACAATGATGAAGATGCATATTTATATTTAAAGATAAAATTTCAACATAGTTTCATAAATAAGAGCATCATAAACATGAGTCTACAATATCTTTTCTACCACCTTTTGGGACAACAAGAAGAATTTGGTGAAAATCACTACCAAATACTACAATCTTACCTTCAAATAGAATTTTGTTTAAAGATGAATTAGTAGCTTTTATAAGATCTTTCAAAGTTTTATTAAGTGCTTCAGATGCATATCTATTGGCTATAAGTGCTTCATCCTATATAATTAAATGAGTTTTCTGTAAAAGCAAAGCTAATTCAGTATCATGAGAGATAGAGCAGATAAAAGTTTTCATTAAATTAATAGAGATTTTGAATCTAGAGTATGCAATACAGCCACTTGGCAAAAGGAGTAAAGCAATTCTAGAAGATGCTACTACAAGAGCAATATAATAACTTAGATGAACCTTGGTAAGTAAAATACTATATATATAATATATATATTAAAATAAAGAAAAAAAAAAATAGGAAAAAAATTTTTAATTTCTTACTTATAAAGGAATGTTTTTCCTGTTTTACCAGGACTGTCAATAAAAAATATAGAAGAATTTTTACTTTCTACAATGTTGATGACTTTATTGAAAATAGTAAGTTGGTCTTCATTTAATTGAAATATTTCATGTTTAAGTATATTTGTTAACTTATCAATATCATAATTTTGTTCTTCACTAATTAGTGAGTTAGTATCATCGAGTGTAATTGGTATAGGCATATTAGAAAAGTCTGCAAGTAATTTGCTGTGCTTGCATAAAATTGATTGTAAGTAGAATAAGGCTAGATTATGTATCTCAGCTTCAGTAAGTAGATGTTCACTATTATTGTTAGTATGAAAATGAATATCTTCACTAAAAAAATAAATATACTTCTTTCAAAGTTGTTTAGAATATAAAGAATCACAAAACAAAAGAAGAGTAATGAACAAATTTCATAATTGCGCTTCAGATCTAATTTGAGAAGCTTCAGCTAAACAGCAATCCCATTCATCATCATTTTAAAGTAACTCCAAAATGGCATAAGCTTGTTTGAAAGTTGAATACAAAATTCTATTTATAGTATAAATATTATTAAAAGAGATGGTGCCAGGAATTATATTGAGTAGAAGGTACAGGTAATAATATTCACCTGCTGTTGGATAAACAAAATACATTCTCCCAATTACACTATTACATTTTCTTGGTTTTCAAAATTTTGCATGTTTATCAAAAACCTACTGTGATAAAAAATTTTCATATATAAGATTTCATACATTTGGATAATCAGAGTTGGCTTTAAACCATGCTGTAAGGGTTGATGTTTCATTAGAAGCAGTTTCAGCAAGATATTCCCAAGTAGAGTCATCTCTAAATAGTACTCTATGTTGTCTGAAAAGATGAACTTGAAGAAGTAGAACAGATGGACTTCTATTATATAGCTGATAGTAAAATAAGTATCATAAAGCTTCAAATGCAGATATATATTGAGCATTTAGGTAAATACTTATTTTATCTTTATTAGGTCTCTATTCATATTCTTGGTTTTGGCCTCTTATTTCTATTGTAACATGATCATGACCTTTATAAACATACTTAAAAGATATTTTATAGCAGTAATAGAAGAATAAATTTTCACATTTATATGACAATTGTATTTAGTGAAAAAATAAGAATTATATGAAATGACCACCTGTTATCCAAAGTTGAGCTATGCATTTTTATAGTTATGCCATTATTTCTTTGTTTGTAGATAAAATAGCCATTATTATTCATAGTAGTAGTTTTTTGAAATCATTTCAGGTATTCTTTAGAGCATTTTTCATTTTTCATACATAGAGAAGTTGACATAAATGTATCACAGAAACCATGTATTATTAATTGTTTGATTGTGTTATACAGAATAGAATCATTATCTTTGTCAAAAATCTTAGCTGAAACAATTGAATCATAGTCCTCAATTGTTTTGGGTTTATGCTTATGTGCAAGAATAATAAGTATATGAGCATGAGGTAGATCGCACTTCTGAAATTCGATCATATAAAGATAGGCTAGAACTTTTCTGAAAACAGTTCTTTGATAATATCTTTAAGTAGTGCTTTTAACTTCATATTAAAAATGCATGAAATTAAATCAAGACAATTCTGTGCAGTTTGACTTGAAAGAAGAGTGTTAGTAATTTTGGACCATTGTGGATTGCAAGTCATTGTAATAAATAAATCAGGCTTACAAGCTTTCTTACAATAGTCATTTCATCTTGATAAAGTGCACTATATAACAGAGCCTGCCTGTATGTTGTCTTATGTTTGCAGTTTGTAATACATTATCTAAAGCAATCACTGCATCTTGTAATCCACTATACAATTTTGCACATATATTTTTTTGATTAAAATGTTATAGTTAAGATGCATTTGTTTTACAATTGCATATATATCAACTATTCATTGTTGAAATAAGTAGCCAAATAAGTGATAAACTACAGCTTCACCTGAACATTCAAGATAAAGTCAGTACATGAAATAATTTATAGCCATGACATCTTTCATAGTAGTTACTTCTTCTTCATGATCAGAGATCAATTCATCATTATTAATAGATCCTTAAGAAGACATAGAACTGTTGATAGAAATATACAGATGCCAACCATCATCATCTCTAGGAAACATAAGAATGTAATATTATAGTGAATAAGTATGATACAGCTCAAATATTCTTTGTAAACCCCTAGTATGCAAATGTAATACAATATCATGGTTTGAAGTTTCAATTTCTTGTCTGTTTCCAACCATAATCATAATAACTTCTGATGTCATTAGAACATTATATCGTCTAGAGTCACTTCTTCTGTTGTCTGTAATTATCATTCTCAAATTTAATGATAGATTAGAAGTTAGTATATTGCTTGCATTTCTAAAAATTTGACAATAAGAGTTTAACTTATGTAATATTTGCTGAAAGTTAGCAAGAATTAAAGGATCAAGACCAGGCATTCTATTCATTCAATTTTGCAATTTATGTTTTGTGTCATAAATGTAGAATTGTGCAAATTTAGGGCAAGCCTAACTAGAATATATAAGGCCTATATTGTAATACATTTTACCATGAATACAAAAGCTGTAAATATCACCCATTCCTGTTATACTATCATCAATTTGAGTCCCTATCGAAGTAAAAGCTAACACTGAATTATATATTCTTATTTTTTGCTTAAACAAATATGCTGATAAATCTGATCCAGTAAGAAGCATATGTAAAGGTCATGGTAGTTGTTAAAGAGGAGGTAAAAGAATCTTTTCTTTAGCACAACAAGTAGTAAAAACTGAAAATCATAAAGATGTATATGCTTTCCTTTCATCAATCCACATTAGAGCACCACAATATTGGCATTTTTGATCCATTCCTCCTAGAGTATGATGATTTATTCCATTTGATGAACATGAATATGAGCATGCTTTTAATAAATAAGAAAAAGCAAGAACAGAAGGATTGAGAGCAGGCAATTCATTTCAAGGAGCAACTTCTTCAAAAGTGCTGTTACAGGAACTTGAAAAAAAGATTAGAACATTAACAATATCATAATGCATACTTACCTGTTCATTTGTCTGATTACATCTATTATAATTTACAGAAGTCTCTCTTTCTTTCCTTTTTATGATACTTGTTGATATGAAACTTCAACTTCATTTTTTTGTCTTGCTACTTCTCTTGTTGCTCTGAATTCTTCTTCTCTTGTAGGTGTATTACGAGCTGTCTCTGTACTATTTGTATTACTTGTTTGTTGTAATTTCTTACAATATCATTGCTGATGTTTGTGGTTAAGTCTTTTACAGCATTCTTCTGATGTTTCAGCTATTTTTTTTTATTTTACAAAATTCTAAGTGATTTAAAAAAAATTTTATATAGATAAATTAAATTTAATATGCAAACTAAATTTATTTAAAAGAGAATCAAAGATTCAAAAAAATTGAAAGTACTAAGTGAAATATTAATAAATATAACAAGTATTAGATATTATATAAATATCAACTTAAGTAGATCCACATTGCATATGTTATACTAATATATGCATAACACATGATTTATATAGATCCTTATAAGAGATATTACATGAATAGCTTTATATAGATAAATAATAGGGTAAATACAACATAATATCATATAATGCAATTCATAAAATTTATTTATACAAGCAATCTAAATATTACATCATATGACTTCTACGATTTTAAAATATAGTAGAAATTTGAATTTCTATTATTTTAAGTACAATGTTATCTAATATTATTCAAATCTTCACTATTTTAAGTACAATAATATCTAATATTGTTTAAATTTTTACTATTCCAAATACAGTATCAAGTAATGTTGCTTGAATTCTTATTATCTTTACTAAATAAAAAGATATATAAAAAGTATTTTTCTTTTTTTTTATTAATTTTAAGTTTTTATATTTTAACTCAGATATAATGATCTTTTAATTGTAAAGTATAATATTTCTTTTTTAGGATAATTTTTTTAAACAAAATTATCATTATATATATTATTAATAAAAAGTTAATCTATAAATTATTATTATTTTAAATTATTTATTTACTACTATATAATAAAATAACTATTAACCTCTACTTAATATATATATTTACAATAATTAATTACTATATTAGATAATCTTATTACTTAGTTGTATTATATTAAGAAGATTGTAATCTTGTAACAATATTTAAATTAACTAGTAGTCAAGTTAGTAGATTTTTTTATTTAAAGGTTCTTGCTTATACAGATCATCTGACTTAGATTTTCTTTTTCAGATCAAATGATACTATCAAAAATTATACTATATTTCTTTTTAGAATTTTTAAATAAGACTTCTTATAAAATATATATTTTCTAAATTTATTTATATAACATTGCATATTTTTAAAATTAATCTTAGTATAATCAGATACAAGATTGCAATCTCAAATAACTTATTTAAATTGTTAAAATAAAATTATTTTCAAAATTTTGTTGTCAATAGGATTTAAACTCTAGACTTACTATTTGAAAAATAATAACTACTATACTAAGATTACTATTCTTTTTTTTTTTTGGTATTAAGGTGACCTCTTTAGTCTTTTAACTTTTATTAATCACTTATCAGTATTGTGATTCAATAAACTACTACAGGAAAGAGTACAATTGGCTATATATGTAACTTTTCTATATTACTTATTTAAGGAGTCCACCTGAAGGTTCTTCACCAATTGCCATACCTAACACCTCTGCTTGGATGTTTTACTTTAAACTCTCTGAATCTGTAATCTGTATTAACTTACTAAGTCATACTCAGATGCTCAGATTATTGTCTCAACCTTAGAACTAATTTATCCTTAAAGTAAACACCCAGAGCCTTCTGTATCTATTTTTACAGCTAACCTAGGTATTGCTATAGCAGAACTAACACTTGTGTTTAGGGCTTAACTATTAAATCACTATGCTCTTGTAGAGTTTATTTAGACTTTAGTATTTACTTCATAGCATAACTCTGGTACTTTAGTATACATTTGCCTTTTCATTTGCCTTTTTACTAAACTCCTAATTCAGATAGCTTGTGTAGAACTACAATTAGTCTATTAGTATATTGGGTCAGCTTGATATTCTTTTCCTCTGATTCATTCTAGCAGCCTGGTTGGTAGTACTCCTGAGACTTCCAACCTGAAGGTTCTTGCCCATCTGGCTACTATGACTAGATATTATAACCTTGGTATTTATTTTTTTAGGCTAGCCTTTACAGTAAGGCCATCAAAGATCTAGCACCTCTTTACTTGGGTCTTCCCAAATGGACTTCTTGTTATCTAATTTCAACAGATTTACACAGCCACAAGGACTTATTTAGTGTTGCACTACCTGATTTGTCAGTTTGCATTTCTCTATACTTATACAGATGCCTCATGACCTGCCAGTCATGCTAGTATGACCACCATCACAGGTATCCTAACCTAATTATTATTAACAGTTGCTATAATATGAATATTATATAGGTAATTATCCAAATTGTCACTGTTGATAGGATTTGAACACCTAAGCTACCACTTGGAAGGTTGACAACCTGACCACTTCACTAGGTTACTACATCTCTTAAGGTTACCATTTTTATATATTTTATTTATTAAAAAAACATATATATAATTAAATATATATAAAAAATTAATAATTATTTATAATAAATTTATTTAACAAAACTTAAAATTAAATATAATTTAAAATTATAATAAAAGTTTTTTTAAAAAAATAGTTTTATTTTTATTTAATTAGAATATTATAATAAATTTAATAGTTTATAAATAATAAAAAAATAATATCTAAAATAACAATTAAAATTAATAAAAAATTCAATAATTTAAGAACATTAGTTTATGATAATCCATCATCATAATAACCTCTTATAATTGACCAATTAGATTATATCAAAACAATAATAAAATTTTAAATTTTTTTAAAACTTTTTTTAATTATAATTTAACAATTACTTATTTAAATTTAATAAATTTTTTTTTATTTAAATTCTACAAATCTTTATAATTCAAATAAAAAAATTTTAACAAATTTAATAAAATAGTTATCGAGATATAGTTAATTAAAATTTATTAAAGTTTAAAATAACTTAGAAAAAATTTCTTAAATCAAAATTTTTAACAAAACTTTAATCAAATATATTTTAGCAATTACTTGATCAAATTTAATTAAATTTTTTTATTTACATTTTACAGATTTATAGAATTTATATAAAAAAATTTTTATTAAATTTGATCAAGTATTTGTTAAGATATTATTAAAAGAAATTAATTTTTTAAATTTTAAAACATCTATTATATTATATTTGTATCAAAATTTTTATCATAACTTTGATTAAAGATATCTTAGCCCCCACAGACTAGGTCAACGGTTCAAGTCGGGCTGGAGGCAAAATCTTAGGATTTTAACTCTGTAACCTAAATAGG